AGGTTTTAAACACTCCAAAGGCTCAAATTGTACAGGCTGATGACTAGTCATTTTCAAATTCTTCTTAAATTGGAATAAGACCCTGAAGTTGCAGAAATACTCTAGTTGGGAGATGATAGTAGATGTCAAACAATCGTAAAAGAAAGGTCAAAACCAGGTTTTTTTTGTTTGTTTTTAGAGGGTGCCAGAATCTCATTGTGTGAGATGAATGGATGAAAAAATTATTATTAAGATCTTACTCTGTGCCACACATTGTGTTAGCTGCTGAGGATTCAAATATACATTCCAATGTAGGAGAATTGGTGGCCAGGATGTGGGGTATTTTGTTTTGAAAAGTTACCGGGATGACGAATGGAGCCACGGGGGATAATGTTGACACACTCTTTCCAGGGGGAAGTGATTTGAGTTGATTTGTTTATGGTTTTAAGAAATGGAAAGTGACTGGGGGTGGGAGGGGAAGAGAAATAGGGTCTGTGTACAGCCACAAGGCTTCTGGTTAGAATGGTTGGGAATGAGGTTTGGCTAGAACTGGCCTCAGATGGCATGAGGCTGCCACCAGTGAGGACACATGAGGGGACTGGCTCTTGGGTAAGAGTTTCAGGGGAAAAAGAATCAAGTCCTCCAAGGCAGACTGCTAAAGGTCTGGTGAGAAGTAAGCTAGGGAGTGAAGTGAAATCGTAAGTCAAGTACAAAAGCAGTTTCAAGCTGGGGAGGTCAGTGCTTGATGATGCTTAAGAATAATAGCCAGCATCATGTAATAACGCGTTAAGATTTGCAAAGCTCATTCCATTTTGACTTTAAAACAGCCTTGTGAAATAGGTGCTGCTATTGTCCCCATATAACAGTTGAAGGAACTGAGACAGACAGAGCTTAAATGACTTGTTCAGGGTCACACAGCTATCAGTTATCTGAGGCAGGATTCTAACTCGGGTCTTCAAGACACAAGGTGCGCCAGTGACCCGATTAATAGACATAGCCTCCCTTCCCAAAACATTTTGGGCAGCAGTATGCATAGACTCTTTTGCTCCTTGCTAAAGGTCAGTGTCTTCATGGCTCAGATCTGCCTTGTTCCTCTCCTGAGTCACTCTCTTTAGAAAGTCCAGGGGCTGAGACCTTGAGAACAAAACCTTGAGGGTGGGAGAGGTGAAACTTTAAATAAGTGGGTGGGGAAAAAACTACACTTAATTCTGTAGAGGAAGGAAGAGGGAGTCAAAGACAACAAAGGTGTTTGCAAAGAGATAGGAACAGATGAGGGTCAGGAAAGAGAGAGTTATGCGGAGTGGGCATTCTCTAGCGTTAGGGTTGAGAGAGCTCAGTGAGAATGATCAGTGGGAAAGACTTTGAAGAGTGTGGAACCCAGTGGGGGTTTGGAGCTTCCTTTTGTTTGGAGCTTGAGGTGAATGCATGAAATAAGGGAAAAATGAAAGGAGAACAGGCAGACTGGAGGGAAGGTGGTGGTTGGAGAGATATGTACCCATTGGTAGAGAGAGAAAGACTGACTCATACAAGTCTCTAGGGCTTGGGAGTGCAAGGCTATCCATTTGGGGGAATGAATGATGGTCCAAAGCTCTAGGGGAAATTGGGGGCCCAAGTTAAATATGTTGGACTCAAAACTAAAAAAACCAAGCTGAACATACTAGTGTCATTGCTTCATACCCAAAGCTCTTTAACTGTTCTCTGTAGACAAAAATGTTCATGGTGGCAAATTCAGAAAAACAAAAAGAAGAAATAAATGTAAGAAACCATAGTTAATGTGTTATTTTCAGCAAGGGGGGAGGGACAGATGAAAGAAAGTGAATGGGGCTGCCTTCAAATCCCTCTGCTGTCCTTAGAAAATTTTTCATTGAGCTTATCTACTCAAAGAGCTCACATTTTCATGAGGGAAGCATCATGCAGCTTTGTACATACAATGTGAAGGGATGGGAGGTGGGGGAGTACAAAGGTATCCTGTGTGAAGAAGAACAGCCTCTATCAGGCAGAATTTGAATCCCCAATTTCTTTGCTTGCAGGGCTAGGGCTCACTGCAGGGCACCAGGCTGGCTCCTTAGTGGGGTCTTGGCGTTGTTTAAAATGTTGTCCAAAACTCCCATATTGTAATGTCTACAAGAGCAGGTTGTGTAGCCAGATCAGAGTTTGAGAATTATTTGTATCACTTCAATACTATGAACAATGGAGAAGAAATTTGAATCCATTGAATTGTTAACACAAGAACAGTTATGTGGGCACATTATTTTTTATTGCCCAAAATTCACCCTGTGTTTGTTAGGGTTCGCTAGCAACCTTTAACGGTAAAACTGGATTTTGGTTGAATCATTTGGAGAAATGAATCTTTGGTGATAAGTGATGTTACAAAGTCCTTGTAGAATTAAGTGGGTTATTGATGGGTGGTTAAAGGCTATAAAAACTTTTGTTAGCATTGACATGTATTTAATGACTTTATCACAAATATGAATAATTTTAAGTGGCTGACTTCTTGACTGCTATGTTTCTCTCTTTGCACCAGAATGGAAGGATGGTCTTTTTGGAGGGCAGAAGAAGAAAAGGGGCATTCCTTGGGCAACCAATGTAATTGTTCATGAATTTTGCCTTCTTGGGTATTTTATGTGATGTAGAAAGCAAAATATTGTAAGGAAAAATAAATCCATTATTTCTTAGGAGATAATAACCCATGACATATACAAACAAATACTTGTTATTTACAGTGATGAGGTGGCCAGTATTGCTCTAGCTTTGCTTTCTTGACAAATTCTTATCACTATTGTATGAGCATTCTTTTATTTAAATGTTTGATAGTTTCAGGGGCAGGTGTCCAGTCCTTTAGAGACAGGGAGAGGGTGAAAGCTTTCTTCCCAAGATAATGGGATGCCTGTCAAGTCCTGTGACCCCCCAGGTCTTAAATTCCCAAACCACACTCCTCTCTTACATTTAACCCATTATGCATTTGTTCCACTGTCTATTATTGGAAATTCAGATTTCCTTCCCACTTTGCCCCTAAGCAGTTCCTTCTTGTTAGATCCTGTGGAAGGCCAAAATACCTTCTTCTTAATGTGCTAGAGAACTAATAATGGCTGTAGCTTTCAGATGTATTTTTCTGAATCACAGTGTCTTAGTGTAGGAAATGTCCTCAAGCTTGATGCACCTATGTTTTCGAGGCTATTGTGTGTCCAGAACTGAATGTAATATTCCATATGGGATCTCAGAGTGCAGTGGGAATCAACCTAGATCCCTCTGTCTCTCTTATCCATTTGAAAATAAATAATTTTTTATTAATATCTTTTGGTTTTCCATCCCCTCAGTTTCCCCCTATATCCCTCCCTCTGTCATCTCAAAAGAGCCAGCCCTTAGAACCAAAGAATGGGGGGGGGGGCCCATAGGTGGGAAACATTGCATACAATATCAGATTTTTTTTCCCTGATTTGATTAGTTTTGCTGATTTCCCCCCCACCTTTTCTTTTAATTCCATCACTGGGTTACAACAGTTATATCTTTCCACACTACCTATCAGAGAAGAGCATGTTCTAATATTTGGTTGCCCTTAGGTGAAAGCCATATGGACATGAGTTTCCTAAATGTTTTGTAGGTTTCTTTGTATGTAATTATGTAGATACTTACTGAGCTCCGCTGAATTGAAATTACTCTTCCATTGATCAACAGAGCATTGCACTAGTTATAAAGTTTGTATTTACTTCCATACCCGCAGTTCATGGGATCATAGATTTAGAGGTTGAAGAGACCCCAGAAACCATCTAGACCAAGTTTTTACATTTTAAAGATGGGAGCTTCTGTGTCCCAAGGTGACCAGTTGACTTGCCCAAAGCCATCCTGTAGTTAAGGGTTAGGATGAGATTTGAACCAGGTTCTCTCACTGTAGAGCTGCCACTGTTACCTCCGAATCCCAGCAATTATTTAGACTACCAGAAGCTTGACACTGTGAAAAGGAAAATTCTTTGTTTGGACTTTTGCTCTGATTAACAAGGTAACTCTCGAAAGAAAGAGAATTAAAAGGAGTTTATTAAAAGGACATCAAGGTAACAGTTCATTGATGGACTGATCACTAGAGGTCAACAAGGGATTCAGGATGGAGCCAGTTTTTATTGATAAAGACAAATCAGATGGGTCCAAGTCAGCAGATGGGGGTGGGTCATTGCATCTCGGCTTCTCCCCAAGGTAGCAGGTATGTGATGTTTAACTGGTAGGAGTATGTGCTGAATAGCTACAGACTGAGTGACACCTTCCCCAACCCTGATTTACAAGCAAGCCTGGGAACAGTGGGTCACTGAGTCAGTATAACTTTCAGGAATGCAATTTAGGCTTTTTAAAGTTAGCAATGAGATTTGGGGAAATTTTTGTTATTTTGTTAAGATTTTTCCCCTTATTTTTATTTTGTTGCATTTTTAAAAACAATTCCTTTAATTCACTGTTTGAAAATTATACAAGAATTTCCCCCATGTATTTGTACCTTCTCACCCTTTAGAACTCCCAACTTCCTTCAATGCAGAGCTCAAGTGAGTTGTCATCTGAGATGAGCCACACTTAAGGCCACCCACCATTACTTATAATTGAGATGACAGGGGCTTTGTCGCAGCAGCTTCTGTTTAGACTTTCAGTATTAGTAAGGAATGTGGTGGTTTCCTTCTGTGACCTCTGACTATACTACTCCAGGGACCCTAACTTACACTTATATATAGTTTGAAGGTTTTCAAAGTGCATTACATACAAAGTGCATTATCTCATTTGGACTTCTTTGACTATTATTAAATATGTCCTCTCTCCTGTCATCCAAGTGCCTTCATGATGTCTAGGTGGAACTACCACCCAAAGGGGGGAAGCTAGACAGTGATAGACAGTGTATAGAGTGTCAGCCCTGGAGTCAGGAGGTCTTGAATTCAAATCTGGCCTCAGACACTTACTAGCTGTGTGACCCTGGCTAAGCCACTTAATTCTGTTTGCCTCAATTACTGCTCTGTCAAATGAGCTGGAGAAGTAAATAGCAAACCACTCCAGTATCTTTGCCAAGAAAACCCCAAATGAGGTCAGGGAGAGTCAGAAAGAGATACCACTGAAACAACTCAACAATGATGATAACTACCCAAAAAGTCTTACTTTTGTGAGCTTATTCAAATGAATCTCACCATACCTTGGGCCCTTCAAACCGATACTATGAACTATTCCTGACTTTGAGTAGAAGTCACTAGGTCTGGGTCATCCTGCAATTGGGAGATGTCTAGTGCCTTGTGAACATATATTAGCTTCTGCTGATTTGGTCTCTTTTTCAACAACTGCCACATCCCAGAGTGATAAGAACATTTTGCTAGCTGGACAGAGCCTACCTCCAAAAGCTAGAGAATTCCTTAAGTAGTCAATGCCTTGTACCAGGTATACTGAATAAATATTTATTACATTTTACGTGCCTACTCTGAGATGGGCACTGTGCTAAATGTAAAATGTAAAATGAATGAAGGTACCTAGCAGACAACCTTTACATTTCAGTAAGCAAACAACAAATATCTATTAAGTACATACTGTGTACATGGAACTGTTCTAGGTGCTGAACCCAATATGCCTTCAAAGAGCTTACATTCTTTTAGAGTACAAGGAACAGTGTCGGTCTAGTTCCATGTTGCCTTTGTCCTGCTATATCATGAGCAAGATAGGGCAGTTCATTGGACTAAGAATGCTTATTAGATTATTACTTGAAAAGCTAGCAATGATCGAGAGAAGCCAGTGTGTGGAGACCAAACCAAGTGAAACCTGTCCATTTGCTGCTAGGGGCATCTGTTTGTGAAGGGCAATATGGACTGTGCCCCAAATGTGGGAAGGATCTTCATGCATCCATGCTCATATAAACTAAACAGCATAAACAACCTTCTTGTAAACTTAGATCAGCTAGCTTGCTATGACTTTGAAAGTCCAACTAGTAAAGTTCACTGGGGTGATCTGTTTCACACCTACCTTCTTTCTTTTAGGTTTATTGTCTTTTCACTAAAATTTGTCCTTTTTGATCTTTTTTTTTCTTTCAAAGTATTCATTAGGTTGGTTTTGAATGGTTCTGTGCTCCAGGGTCTCTTGAATTGGGTAGATTATTGAATAAAATTCTTTATGAGCCTCCAGCCTTTCCCCTTCTGCCAGTTCTCCATTTGAGGGTAGCACAAGGAGTATGTGAGCATTTTAAAATAATTTCTTCTTGTTTTTTTAAAAAATACATTAACTGACCAGCTTAGTCATAATGAATATTCTTATTGGTATGCACCTTTCCCACTAGCAGATTACAATCTCCATGATGGCAGGAATTGTTTTTGTTTTTGCACCCCCAGTGCTTTGCCCAGTTCCTGGCACTAAATGAATGCCTGTTGGCTGAATGAATGAATGAAGGAGAAAACCTTCTAGTTTTCAGGGAATATTCTTAAATCAGACATGCATGCTTTTTTATGAATGGGAGAAAACGGTTCAGTATTATGAGCAAACTACTGACTAAGCTTTTCTTGGGTACTGCTGTAATGCAGAAAGTTCTGTGCATGGAATCCTTTTGATTGTTATAAGTACTTTACACAGTAATGCCTGGAAACTGTGTTTATTGGCATAGCTGTCTCTTATATACTCATCTTGGCTGGATGGGCAGCGCAACATAAAGTCTTGCTCTGTGAAAGCTCCCAGTGGGGTGTCAGAGCGTGTCTGTGCTATCCAGAATTGCATTGTCCATCATTTCATTGCTTCTCTTGGTTTTGGAATTTTCCAGGCTATTTGGGGCTTTTAATCTGAGGTGGAACTTCCTCCGCAGCGTTTCTCTAAATGGTTGACAGAGGAAGAAATAAATAATGGGGTCTAGGCACACATTGGCTGCAGAGAGGAACAGAGTGAATTCTTTTGCATAGAGCAGGATTTCTTTGGATTGGCAGTCATAATCTCCTTCAATTTGGCTTCTGGTATAGGGGATTCGGGCAACGTGATAAGGGACAAAGCACACGCAGAACACAAGCATGATGCAGAATATGTTACGGCTGGACTTTTTTTTGACAGAGATGGAATTCCTTCTGGACCTAAGGTAAGAGCGGTAGATTTTCCTCGTGATGGCCGTGTAACAGATGATCAGCAGAAGGAACACGATCCAGAAGATGCCCACAAAAATGTAGTTGGAGGCTCTGTGCCACTTGAGCCCCAATTCATTTTTGAGTTCCATGCACTTAACATTATCTTCCTCCTTAGCACTTTGATCAGTCAGAATGATGTTGGGGACGGCCAGGAATAGCATCAGGACCCAGACGAGGAGAGAGAGGATCTTACTGTAGCCTACCGTGTGAACAAAAGAAGCCAGAAGGGGCTTGACGATCTTGTAGTACCTGTCAAATCCTATGAGCCCAAAAAACACGATTCCCACGTACATGTTGATATAGAAGACCACTGCGGAAACCTTGCACACAAAGATGCTCAGCTGCCAGGGCCCTATTTTGGAATCACTCAGAATTTTGAATGGGAAAGTTAGACTCATCAGAAAGTCAGCTGCCACGATGTTCTTAAGATAGACGATGAAGCTCTTGCTGTCGGAAACGTAAAAAAAGATCCACGCAGATATCCCGTTGAGCAGAATCCCACCCACGAAGACAAAGAAATAGAGCAGGGGAATGAAGTATTGTGTGATTAGAGAATTCAGAGAACATTCCGTGTTGTTACTGGCAGTTTTGTTGTCCATCTTTTTCAGTTAAAGTCCTAAAAACAGATAAGACTCAGTTAAACTAATGGCATGTAAGGTGTCACATTGGTAGGAAGTAAATTTAGTAGAAGTAGTTAGAACAAACCTCAAAGATCTCTCTTGGAAGTTAGACTACCTGCTTTGGATGGATTCAGAAGTACTCTCTTATGAAGACAGAAGACAGGAAGATTGAGGGATCGCATGCCATTAAAGCCATGTGATTTGGAGTGGGTTGCCTAAACTTGTTGGGCAAGTCATTAACCTGCATTTGAAAGATGTGATGGTTGGCCTAGATGTTCTCCTGCCTCTACAAATCTATGACTCTAAGATTCAGGGTAAGGATATTAGAGAGTTGGAAGGCGCTGAGTACCTTGGATGTAAAAATGAGAAGAGGAAAGTTTCCCTAAAACATTGGATAGTCTCATGGTTGAAATTTAAGGAAATGGCAAACTACAGTAGATCTCTGAGCAAGATGATGTTCATTAGCAGCCGCAGGCTACCTGTCAATAAATGGGCCCATGGCTTGCCTCCATTAATGCCAAACACCCTGAGCAAAAGGACAATTCCCCTTATGTAAGCTTTGGGGAGTACGGGACAAAGAACAGAACAGAGTAGATGACATCATGGAGTTAAAGGCAACATGATTGGTTACTGAACCGAGGCGAAGGGAACTACATGCTTGGTTGGAAATTTATAATGGAGGCTAGCAACCACCCCCTTCTTCTGTCATGAGACTAAGAAATGCTCATTGTTTGAGTCCAGATGTGAGATTGCCCAGACTTTTGGACAGCAAAGCACATATCCTTGAAGGATAGCTTGGTGGTGTAAATACATTAGGCCCAACTCCCTTTCTGTTCACATGCATTCTTCAAGGTCAGTTAAATTCCTTGAAGCAAGAAAGCTGGATTTTGAAATTTAACCCATTACAGGCCAGCTGAACTCTGAGCTAAGTTCAGAGACAAAGAACTGTGACTTAAGTTGTTGCTTTGTAGAGGAGCCAGTCTGTGGAATAAATTAGATAATTAAGTATGCATGCCAGTATTTTAAGTTGAAATACAAGTCTCAGTTGCCCTCTTTGCTTAAACTGTTTTTTTGTTTTTGGTGAGGCAATTGGGGTTAAGTGACTTGCCCAGGGTCATACAGCTAGGAAGTATTATGTGTCTGAGGCTGGATTTGAACTCAGTTCCTCCTAACACCAGGGCTGGTGCTTTATTCACTGCGCCACCTAGCTTCCCCTTAAACTATTTTTTTAAATAGTAAATGCTAGGAAAGGAAGTGAGTGGGAAGGGTCCATTGGAGGCCAAGGTCCCAATGAGTCCTTTCTGAATTAGGATGATGACAATAATAACTAACATTTCTATAGCACTTACTATGTACCAGGCCAGTGCTTTACAATAATCTCATTTGATCCTCACAACAACCCCAGGAAGTAGGTGCTATTATTATCCCCATTTTACAGATGAGGAAAGTGAGCCAAACAGAAGTTAAGTAACTTATCCAAGATCACTCTCCTAGTAAGTGTCTGGGGCTGAATTTGAACTCAGGTCTTCCTGATTCTAGACCCAGCATTCTATGCTGTCCAGGGCTTTACATGTTTTATTTATTGTGTAGGATCTCTGACAGGCCATGTTTCTCAGGTCTGCAACTCGACACGATGTGAAAGCTTAGAGAGAGGATTTTCCTCAAGTGAGAATTTCTTATATCAATTAAATTCCAGTTCCAGGCCCCATTGCCTTCTTCCCATTTCCATGTACCTGGCACTGTGCTAAACAATAATGATTACATTGCCTAAAAATATCAATAATTCCAAGTGCCTCCTGAGTTTATTTTTCCATAAATGGTGCTTTTTCAATGTGGTGCTTTGGAAACTGGGGACCATTTGGTGATTCAGCTAAAGTCAATCTGGCCTTACTCTAGTCCAGGCCTGCACAACCTGCAGCCTATGGCGGCTTGGGACACACCAAAAGATTTCAGGTGGCCTGTGAAAAATGTAGAGGAAAACATCTTTTACATGTGGAGGAAATCCTTTGGCCTGTCCAAGCTGCCCACAGGCTGTAAGTGGCCTGTGGGCTGCAGGTTGTACAGGCCTGTTCTAGTCCTTAAGAGCTACCCCAAGGCTATACATCAGTTTGGAAACAGAAAAACAAACAGGCCAATAATAAGGAAGTACATGCAATTGTAACAATTTTAAATTTAATTTAAGGTAACTGCCGTATGGTTTTTATATAATAGAATGAATTATACCTCACTTATTTGGAAATAACTTCGCAGTGCTCCATATAATTGAGGTTGCCAGATAAAAACCAGGAAGGAAGCAAAGAAATATGTGAGTAGTCAAAATTGATGCTGAAAAGTTACCACACGCTAAAGGTTGGGTACTTTGCTCACAGGTGAATCCCCGTCTCCACATACTTTTTTTTTTTTAGTGAGGCAATTGGGGTTAAGTGACTTGCCCAGAGTCACACAACTAGGAAGTATTATATGTCTGAGGCCGGATTTGAACTCAGGTCCTCCTGACTCCAGGGCCAGTACTCTATCCACTGCACCACCTGGAAAAAAATATTGAGATTAATAAGTTGGTAATCTTCAATTACCAGAGATTTAAATTAGATGGAAGCCCTCATTCCCTAACAGGACAGAGAAATTCAATTCATTGAACGTTTATTTAATCAGCACCTTCTAATGAAGTGCTGATAGGGGCATCTAGGTGGCAAAGTAGACAGAGAGCTGTGGTCTTGAAGTCCAGAATTAACCTGAGTTCTTAAATATTCACTAGCTGTGTGACCCTAGGCAAGTCACTTAACCCTATTTGCCTTAGTTTCCTCATCTGTAAAATGAGCTGGAGAAGGAAATGGCAAACCACTCTAAAATCTTTGCCAGAAAAACCCCAAATTGGGGTCATGAAGAGTCAGACTTGACTGAAAAGGAATGAGTAACAAAAAATGTAGATAATAATAGTATGTACCTCCCAAGATTGTTGTGAGGATAAAAAGAGATGCTTTTTGTAGAGTGCTTAGCAAAACCTTTAAGAACTATGTAAATGCTAGCTATTATTATTGTTATTACTCTGCTTATCTGGAGAATTTATTGCTCTGTTATACTTTGTTTAGTGTTAAAAAGACCTTTCCTGAAGAATCTTTTTTAACTTAAGGGGCATAGGGATATGAGGTCTTATGCATTTATTGCTAAACCTTAGCACAGGGCTAAACCTTAGACATGGCAATGTGGTCAGGGGGTTGGGGTTAAGGAAACAACCTGTGATTTCATTGATATAGGGAACTCCCAAATGGGGAAACTCCCTCTATAATGCAGGTCATCCCTTTCTCAGCACGCAGAGTCTCAAGAGGTGAACCTACATCCTAGTAAGATCCTCCTAAACCCTGCTTTATGGACAATGCATAAACAGACTTGTCATTCAGCAGTGGCATCTTTGGGCATTTCCTTTGCTCCGCTTTTTGGAAAGGTAAACCACAAGTAGAGAAAATGTGTACTGGAGAAAACCAGCCTGATCTCGATGGTAAGTCCATTGCTTCTGGGATGCAAGTTAAAATCTTTTATTTTTTTCAGATCAGTGAAATTTCACATTTCACTTCAGTTTTTTTCTTCTTTGGAAGCTTCTACTTGATAAGGAGTTATAGGAGGCATTACACTCAAGGAGGTTTCTCTTCTCATCAATAGTGGTGGTTCTCTTCAACTGGTCCATTCAGGACTACCCATCAGGCAAAGCAGTGTGGTGCTATAGAAACTACATCCGGCTTGGTAGTAAGGGGACCTGGGTTCAAATCTCACCTGTGATGCTTACTTTGTCACTTTGGGTGAGTGACTTCATTTACCTCATCTGTAAAATGAGTGGGTTGGCCTGGATGGACTCTTGAGGTCCCTTCCATCTCCAGATATGATCCTGTTGCTGTCTCCTTCCGTAAGTTTGCCACAGGGGTTCCATCCAGTATCCTGGGTGCCTGCCTGGATTTTTCCTATGACATCATGAGGCTACCAGCAGAACCAAGAGGCTTGTAGTGGTTATCTTATTACATGATCAGATTATCTTTCATTCTGGCTTCCCTCCCTACTCCTGCCAAAATGGCTGTCCTTTAAAGTCTCGTTAATAAAAAAACATTTTTATAGGGTGGCATGAAAAATGAAGCTCTGGATTTAGAGTCAAGATACCCAAATTCAAATGTGTCTTCAGCCACTTAATAGCTGTGTGACTTTGAGCAAGTCACTTCACCCGTTTGCCCTAGTTTTCTCATCTGTAAAATGGGGATAGTAATAGCTCCTATTTTATAGGGTTACTATATCAAAGAAGCCAACATACTTGAAGTGCTTTGGAAACTCTAAAGCACTACATACATGCTAGCTGATAGTATTAATAATAACATGGCTATATTATAATATGTCACATTGTTACCAATATGATAACAATAAATCCTGCGTCAGCCATGTAGTAACAGTATAACTGTGGGCAAGGCTTTTTACCTCTCAATTTTATCTGGAAGATAGGAATGTATTTAGCTTAGCACATAGTAGGTGCTTAAATGTTTATTGACTGATTGTATTAGGCTGAGAAAAATGCTTTACAAACTTAAACGAACAACATAAATTTGTATGGTTATTGTTATCCCACCGTAGAATTGTTGAACTAGAAGGGACCATTAGAGGTCATGTTAGTCTGATCTCTTTTTATTAATAAAGAAATTGAGGCTGAGAGAGGTAAAAGGACGTGACAAGTAGGTCTTTTAAGTCCCAATCCAGTGTTATTTTCACTATACCATGTCATTGGCTATTTGGAATTGCCTTGTTTTTCCAGTTGTGTGCAAAGCTATTGAAGTAACTTTAATTTTCTTACTTTCCTTCCACCTTGGCTAGAGTGAGATGACCTTCATTAGAATATCTCAGCCTTATGAATGCTTTCCATCTTGAAGCCTTCTTTAAGAACCCTGTGTATGAAGAGATATATGTATTAAATTACATGAGAATCAAGTAATTTGGGGTAAAATATATGCATATGATGATCAGATGGCTGCCATGTTTCCATGTGCTCCTTTATCCAAACTTCTTTTGCTGCTAATGCTGGGTGGATTCACCATGACTGTACTTAATACTGTCTTTAATGCTCTTGTGGGTTAATTGTTGGTTGCTGCTCAAGTCGCTTATTTGACCTCTTCTTGGCTATTAGTGTATTGCTCTCTTTAGAATGTATGTATGTTTCTCTGGATCTCAGGATTCTGGAAAGAGAGTGAGTAGTTTGGCTTGCATGACCTTGGTCGGGCTAATGCTCTATGATTTGGGTGGGATTTTTGTGGTAGACTCTTTAAGTTTTCAAATTTCATTGAGTTACTTTGTTTTCTTGCATATTAATTTAATAATAAATCCTGGTATGATTTGGTCAGTTAAGTCTGATGTGTATCCTTCCTGAAAATAATACTTTAAAATACACCTTGTAATAATAATAGCTTAAGTTTGGCAGAAGGTTAACAAGGTCAGAATTCCAGGTTCAGTTGCTGGTTGATGGCTAATCCAGGACTAGATGATGTCTGAAGGACCAGCCAGTACCTCTCCACAGGTGAAGTGTGACTCCATGGCGTGATAAGAGTAAGAAGACATCCAGAGACTTGGGAAAAAATAAATCCATGAGTTGTATCTCAGACATGGTCATTGCTGGGTGTCAGAATGCATCCTTTTCCCAAATATGTAATATATATTTCTAGGTGATGTATTTGCCTATTTAGGAATGTTAAGAAGTAAAAATAGTATAGAAGATGGTTTTCTGGGAGGGGGAAGGGGATAAAGAACTGGGAGGAATTTTGGCAATATTTTAAAAAATCAAAATGTTCATAAAAACTTATGACAAATTTTACAAAAAGAATGAAAAATGTGTTTTCTGCATATTAAACTAATTCCTGTATCTCACAAATTAAACTCTGAATTCATGGTGTTGTCTGGATCTAATACATGTACTATCCTTGTCCAGACTTGAGGCAATCGTGTATATTCCAATTCTAAAATGAGAGATCAGGCACTTTCATTTTCTCAGGTTTTATTTCTTCCAGGATGTGTTAAGAGTATGTGTTGTCTACTCCCCTCCCCCTACCCAGTAGGCCACTGGGACCTTGGTATTTTGACTCTGCTTTCCTAAACATAGTTCAGACACCTGATTTTAAGAACTAACTGCAACCACGTTCTTAATTTCCTTTTGTTATTGTTGAGTCGTTTCTGTCATGTCAGACTCTTTTTGACCCCATTTGGGGTTTTCTTGGCAAAAAGTGGTTTGCCATTTCCTTCTCCAACTTATTTTATAGATGAGGAAACAGGCAAAGAAGGTGCAGTGACTTGCCTGGGGGGCCAGGTTTGAATTCCGGTCTTCCTAACTGCAGGGGTGGTGCTTTGTCAAGTGCATCACCAAGCTGCCCACTCTCCAGATGTCATTGGTCTTTTTGAAGAACAAAGGACAAACAACAGCAGGTGGACTGCTGAACCTGGAATCAAGAAGACCTGAATTCAAATACAATCTCAGACCCAGCGCTCTATCCACTTCGTCACCTACCTGCCCTGTCTTAATTTCCTACACAAGCCTTTAATCAGAACTAGTAACAAAGAGTAAGCTTAATAGATGGGAAGGCACTGTTACACCTTCTTCTTCCAAGTAGCTGTTCTAAGAAATCATATAAATAGGGGTTGGAAAGTGGACACCCATGGAACCTACCTCTGGGCTTGTCAGCCTTTTAATGAAACCCCTTGTGGTGTAAGTCAGGCCTGGTCCTTGCTCTAAAGAATTCGTGGGCTAGTGGGGAAACAACATGGAGGTGATTGGCACGGGGGAGGCACTAGCATTAAGGGGGACCAGGGGAAGCTGGGACTTGAAGGAAGCTACAGAGGGCAGGAGATCGAAGATGAAGGAAGAGAAGATTCTACGCATTGAAGGGAGTTAGGAGATAGAGTTGTTTTATTAGAGGGACTGGAAGGGGATTACTAGATCACAGAGAGAGAGAGAGAGAGAGAGAGAGAGAGAGAGTGTGTGTGTGTGTGTGTGTGTGTGTGTGTGTGTTTATGTGTGAGTGTCAGAGACAGACAAAGACAGAGAGAGACAGAGCCAGCTTAATCTGAATGGTAGAAAAGACATGATTTGGCCAAAAAAAAAAACCAAACAAAAACTTGGCTATGGAGCATAAGCGCGAAGATGACACCTACGTTTTGAGTCATTTTGAGACTGGGAGGACGGTCATGCCCTTGAGAGTAACAGGAAAACTAGGAAGAGGGGAGTTTTGGGGGGAAAGAAATTTAGTTTTAGATATGTTGAGTTTAAAGTGACTATGGCTGTGAATTCTTAGGTAGACAGTGCGGGTTTTCCCTGTCATACAGATAATTTTGAAGAATTAAAGAAATTTGCAGGTAGTCATACAGTGAGTGTCAGGGAAGTAAAAGATCCTTGACCATGATTTGGGATGACTCAGTCTTCATCAGCCTTAAATCTGGAGTTGTTGGTTTGCTGCCGTTCTCCCCCCGCCATGATGATTTTATACTGATTCATTCATCCATCAGTTGGCTGCTGTTACTCTACTTGTGAGACAGTTTTCATAACTATAGCACCAGAAAACACCTCAATGGAATGTGAATAAGGGAAGGGGAAAGAACATTTATTAAGTGCTGCTATATGCCAGGCTCTTTGCTAAGCATTTCACAAATATTATCCCATTTGATCCTCACAAAAACCCTGCAAGATAGGCGCTATTATTATCCCCATTTTACAGTTGAGGAAACTGAGGCAGACAGAGGTTAAGAGACCTGCTCAGGGTCACACAGCTAGTGAGTGTCTAAGGTCAGATATAGACTCAGGTCTCTTTGACTCTAGACCCAGTCTCTATCTACTGCATCACCTAGCTCTATTGTAAGGGCATGTTTTTATATTCTACAGGAATAAATAATTGGGTTTTCTCCCCTCAGGAATGGAAGTAAAGGCTCCTTAGAGAAGCACACCCATCCTGACAGAGAATCAGGATGTTTAGATACTTTGCTTCTAAATATCTTGGTTGATATTCAGTTCTGAATTCCCAGGTCTTCATCACCCTCAGCTGAAAGGTGACAGCACTTTCTGCTTGGTGAGCACAGAACATAGTAATCCACTATAGAGGACACTGGGAAGGTTTCTAAAATTGGCATGACTGCCATCCATATCACGATGCCATATTGTTGGCCTTGTCAGGGCTGGTGGGGACCGACAGAGCCAGAATGATGATGGCAATAAAGAATAAAGACCACAACCTCAAATTAGAGAAAGACCAATAACTAGAAGAGAAAAAGAATAGGAAACTGCATGGGAACAGGGAAAAACAGTTAGATTCATCTATTTATGATGTCCAAGTTCTACTGTGGTTTTAGAAAAAGTAGACATTTGGGGGATTTGGGAGATAAAAAATGTTCCCATGTGTTGTTGGCCTTGTTTTTTCTCTGTGGTTTTTTTTTTTTTCCATTTTTTTAATAAAAATTTCAGGCAGATTCCCAAGTTGATAAATAGTCTAAGTATATGAATAGGCAATTTTAGAAAAGAAAGACACAGAAGGAAAGAGAAGGGGAAAAAGAAAGAAAGAAATCAAGTAGTTAACCGCCATATAAAAAAAATGCTCCAAATAATTAGGGAAGTACAAATTAAAGGAACCCTGAGGTTGCATCGCACACTCATCTAATTGACAGAGATGACAACAAGGAAAGTGACAAGTGACAAATGTTGGTGGAGCTATGGGAAAACAGGCCCATTAACTCGGTTCTACTGCTGGTGGAATTGTGAATCGTTCTAGCCATTTAGAACTAAACACTCTCAAAAAAAACAAAAAAAAAAGGTAACTAAACTGTGCATACTCTTTAACTCAGTGAGCCTACTAACAGGCCTCTACCACACCCAAAGAGATCAGAGAAAGAGGAAATCATAGGTGTGAAAATATTTATAGCAGCCCTTTTTGTGGTGGGAAAGAATTGGCAAACAAGGGGATGGCCACTGATTAAGGAATTGGTTAATTCAATCATGGTAGTTGAATGTAATATATTATTATGCCATAAGAAGGGATGAAAGGGACAGTTTCAGAGAAACTTGGGAAGACTTGTATGAACTGTTGCAGAGTGAAGTTAGCAGAACCAGGGGGACAGTTTGTACAATAAAATGGTAAAAACAAACAACTTAAGAAGAAACATGATTCTAGCAGATTGATTAGTGTGGATGGACTCAGTGCAGGCTGAGACATAGATTTTCAAGATGGCCAATGTGGGAATTTTTTTTTTGTTCCGCATATTTGTTTAAAAAAAAGCCCAACAGTTTTTTTTCTTTTTCTTTTTGTTCATTTAGTGGGGAAAGGGAGAAGAGAGAGGGACAGAAAAATTGATGCTTATTGATAAAAAAGAAACTTCAAGAAAAATTTGCATGAGGCAGCTAGGTGGTGGAGTTGGTAAGAGTTGAACTTGGAGTCAGGAAGATCTGAGTTCAAATCTGGCCTCAGATACTTACTAGATGTGTGACCCTGGGCAAATCATTTAACCTTTCTCATCCTTAGTTTTCTCAGCTATAAAATGGGGCTAATAATTCACCTATCCCCTAGGATAGTCATGAGGATCAAATGAAATCTATGCTTTGCTTTACGAATGCTAGTTTTATTATTATTATTAACCAACATCCTCAACCAGTGAGAAGGCAATTTGTTCGTCCTGGAAAATGTTTTTATAGAGTTGGATTGTTTTTTTTAGAAGTGCCTTACATAAAATCAGTTTTATAATAAGCTTAAAAAACAGCAGGGTTGGGTCTGGGCCTACTTTTTGGGGAGTGATTGCAAACATCGTGACGAATGAGAGCTGTGGGCAGCATATTTCCTGAACCTGTAATGGTATTTCCTTTTGGTCTGTTAATAGTTGATATCTCAGCATAATTCTGCTTGACATCAGAGGGAGCCCTTTAGGAAACTGGCAGGGTTTCTTGTAAGGCTATGCTATACAACCTTAGGAAAACATCTCAATGTAGCTTCTCTTTGGGGGTTGGTTAAATGATGGGTACTTCTGAAGCTGTAATTTCTTAGAGCTCTTCTCGTTTCTTCACAAATATCTCACAAAGAAAGGCTTTGAAGATACAGTGAGTGATGTTTTGTATTTATATCAACTTCCCCATCACTACTTAAACTATGTTTCTCCAAATCCAATCCTTGTACTCTTGTGTTTAATGAAAATTGTAGAAACCGGGGGTGGAGCCAACGTAGTAGAGAGAAGCCAGGAAGTTTCCTAAGTTCTCCCCAGTTTTCCTCAGAAACCACATTAAATCAAACCTCTAAACATTTAAGTGACATGACCCACAAAAAGATGGAGTGAAACAATTTTCCACCTTAAGATAACTTAGGACTTAAAGAAAGGTCTGTCTCACTTGGGTAAAAGGGGAGCACAGCCCAGTACAGATGGTGTCCAGACAAGCCAGCAGGAAGTCATTAGCCACAACGTAGGCCAGCAGTGAGGCCCCCAGCCCTAACACAGAAGGCAAACTGCCAGCCACAGAACTCCAGCACAACAGGAGCGAGTAGGCTAGGCCACCCCAGCACAGTGGGCAAACCATGAGCCCCGGAGGCCTCCAGTGCAGAAAGCCAGTGACCAGGTCCCTGGCCTCCAGCACAAGAAGCTTGGGATAGTGCCCCCCTGTGTCCCAGGAGCAGAGTTCAACTTTAAAAGTCACAAGATAGGCTTTGAAAATGAACAAAAAAACAAAACAAAACAGAAAAGAGCCCTAACCTGAGGAAGCTGCTATGGCAACAGGGAAGATCAAAACACAAACTCAGAAGAGGACAACAATGTCAAAATGCCTACCTGTGAAACCTCAAAGAATATGAACTAGTCTCAAGCCCAAAAAGCCTTCTTGGAAGAGCTCAAAAAGGATTTTAAAAATCAAAAAAGAGAAGGAGAAGAAAATTGGGAAAAGAAACAAGAGTTATGCAAGAGAGAGTCACCAGCTTGGAAAAGGAAGGACAAAAATTGGCTAAAGAAAACAATTCCTTAAAAAATACAATTTTGGCCAAATTGGAAAAAAAAAATCCACTGAATAAAAAAGCTCCTTAAAAAGTAGAATTGGTCAAATGGAAAAGGAAGTACAAAAGCTAACTGAAGATAATGATTCCTTAAAAATTAGAATTGGGCAAGTGAAAGTTAATGACTCTGTGAGACAGTCAAACAAAATCAGAAGAATGAAAACAAAAGAAATGTAAAATACCTCACTGGAAAAACAACTGACCTGGAAAATAGATCTAGGAGAGAAATAAGAATTATTGGACTACCGGAAAGTCATGATCAAGAAAAGAGCCTGGACAGCATCTTTCAAGAAATTATCAAGGAAAACTGCCCTGATATCCTAGAACCAGAAGGTAAAATAGTCACTGAAAGAATTCACCAATCACCTCTTGAAAGAGATCTCAAATTGAAAATTCCCAGCAATATTGTAACCATATTCCAGAACTATCAGGACAAGGAGAAAATACTGCAAGCAGCCAGATAAAAACAATTCAGATATCAAGGAGCCACACTCAGAGTTACACAGGATTTAGCCATTTCTACATTAAAGGAACTTAGAGCTTGGAATATTATATTCTAGAACTCAAAAAGAGCTTGCATTACAAGCAAGAATCAACGACCCAGCAAAATTGAGCATAATCTTTCAGGGGAACAGATGGACATTCCATAAAATCGTGAACTTTTAAATTTTCCTGATGAAAAACCAGAACTGAACAGAAAAATCTTCAAATACAAGACTCATGAGAAACATGAAAAGGTAAACAGGAAAGAAAAAAATATTAATCAGTAAGGTCAAACTGTTTACATCCCTACACAGGAAGATGATACTTGTAGCTCTTGAGAAAGTATATGTCTATTAGAGCAGCTAGAAATAGTATAGAGGTAACTTGACTTTGATATGATGATATAAAAGAATTAAAGGTTAAAAAAAGGATTGTACTGGGAGAAGAGGAAAGGTGGAGGCAGAATAGGGTAAATTACATTACATGAAGAGATGCAAAAGATCTATTAAAGTAGAGGGGGAGAAAGGTGAGCATTGTTTGAGCCACTCTCATCAGATCTGGCTCAAAGAGGGAATAACATCCACAGTCATTTGGGTTTAGAAATTTATCTTACCTATAGGAAAGTAGGAGGGGAAAGGGGAAAGAATAGGGAGGCTGATAGAAGGGAAGACAGAAGGGAGGGCAGAAGTTGGAGGGGAAAGGGGAAAGAAAAGAAGGGCTGAAAGAAGGGAGGGCAGATTGAGGGAGGTGGTGGTCAGAAAGAAAACACTGGTGAGGAGGGACAGGGTGAAAGGAAAGAGAAAAGTATGAATGGGGGTGGGGGAGAAATAGGTTGGAGGGTAATACACAGTAACCGTAACTGTGAATGTGAATAGGATGAACTCTCCCATAAAACGGAAGTGGATGGCAGACTGAATTAAAATCCAGAATGCTATAATATGTTGTTTACAAGAAAGATGCAGAGAAGCAGAGAGATACACATAGAGTAAAGGTAAAAGGCTGGAGCAGGATATGTTATGCTTCAACTTAAATAAAAAAAAAAAAGGCAGGGGTAGCAATCCTGATTTCAGACAAAGCAAAAGCAAAAATAGATCTAATTAAAACAGATATGGAAGGAAACTATATCTCGTTAAAAATTACCTTAGACAATGAAGTAATATCAGTACTAAACATATATGCACCAAGTGGTATAGCATCCAGATTATTAGAGGTGAAGTTAAGTGAATTACAGGAAGTAGACAGCAAAACTGTACTTGTAAGGGACCTCAATATCCCCATCTCAGAACTAGATAAATCTAACCACAAAATAAACAAGAAAGAAGTTAAGGAGGTCAATAGAATTTTAGAAGAGTTATATATGATAGACCTCTGGAGAAAATTGAGTGGGGATAGAAAGGAATATACCTTTTTTTCCAGCAGTATGCAGCACCTACAACAAAAATAATTGACCATGTATTAGGGCATAGAAACATCACAATCAATTCAGAAAGGCAGAAATATCAAATGCATCCTTTTTAGATTATGATGTAAAAATTATGTGTAATAAAAGGCCATGGAAAGATAGACTAAAAATTGATTGGAAACTAAATAATCTAATGCTAAAGAATGAGTGAGTCAAGCAACAAAAAATCATAGAAACAATAATTTCATCAAAAAGAATGACAACCATGAGACAGCATACCAAAACTTATGGGATGCAGCCAAAGCAGTTCTTAGGGTAAATTTTATATCTTCAAATACTTATATGAATAAAAGAAAGAGCAAATCAGCGAATTGGGCATGCAACTAAAAAAGCTAGAAAAAGAACAAATTAAAAATCCTCAATTAAATACCAAATTACAAATTCTGAAAATCAAAGGAGAGATTGATAAAATTGAAAGTGAGAAAACTATTGAACTAATAATAATAAATAAAATAAGAGCTGTTTTATGAAAAAAAGAAACTAATAAAATAGATAAACCTTTGGTTAATTCCATGAAAAACAGAAAGAAGAAAACCAAATTATCAGTATAAAAAATGAAAAAGGTGAATTCACCACCAATGAAGAGGAAATTAAAACAATAATTAGGAGGTATTTTGCCCAACTGCATGCCAGTAAGTGACAATCTAACTGAAATGGATGAGTATTTACAACAAATATGAATTACCCAGTTTAACAGAAGAGAAAATAAAATAAATAAGCCCATTTTAGAAAGAGAAGTGGAACTCCCTAACAAAAAAGCCCCGGGGCCAGATGGATTTACAAGTGTTTAAAAAACAATTGATTCCAATATGTATAAACTGTTTGGAAAAATAGATGAAGAAGGAGTCCTATCAAATTCCTTTTATGTCACAAATATGGTGCTGATACCTAAACCAAGAAGAGTCTAAACAGAGAAAGAAAATTATAGACCAATTTCCCTAAAGAATACTGATGCAAAAAATTTAAATAAAATACCAGCAAAAAGATTACAGCAATTTATCACCAGGACAATACACTATGACCAGGTGAGATTTATATCAGCAATGCAGGGCTGGTTTAATTTTATGTCATAATTGACCATATCAATAATAAAACTAACAGAAATCAAATGATTATCTCAATAGATGTAGAAAAGGCTTTTGACAAAATACAACACCCATTCCTATTTAAAACACTAGAGAGCATAGGACTAAATGGAGTTTTCCTTAAAATGATAAGTAGTGTCTATCTAAAACCATCAGCAAGCATTATATGCAATGGGGATAAGCTACAAGCTTTCCCAATAAGATCAGGGGTGAAATAAGGATGCCTGTTATCACCACTATTATTCAATATAGTACTAGAAATTTTAACTTTCACAATAAGAGAAGAAAAAGAAATTGAAGGAATTAGAATAGCCAAGGAGAAAACAAAAACACTCTTTATAAATGATAAGATGGTATACTTAAACAATCCTAGAGAATCAACTAAAAAACTACTTAAAACAATGAACAACTTTAGCAAAGTTGCAGAATATAAAATAAACCCTCATTTCTGTTACCAACAAAGCCCAGCAGCAAAAGATATAAAGAGAAATTCCATTTAAAATAATTGTAGACAATATAAAATATTTGAGAGTCTACCTGCCAAGGCAGGAACTATATGAACACAATTACAAAACACTTTTCACACAAATAAAGTCACATCTAAACAATTGGAAAAATGTCAGTTGCTCATGGGTAGGCCAAACTAGTATAATAAAAATGACTATTCTGTCTAAATTAATTTACTTATTCAGTGCCATACCAATCAAACTGCCAAAAATTATTTCATAGAGCTAGAAAAATAATAACAAAATTCATCTGGAAGAACAGAAGGTCAATATCAGGGGAATTAATGAAAAAAATATAAAGGAAGGTGGCCTAGCCATACCAGATCTAAAACTATTTTATGAAGCAGCACTAATCAGAACTATTTGGTATTGGCTAAGAAATAGAGTGGTGGATAAGTGGAATAGGTTAGGTACACAAGATACACCAGTCAGTGATTATAGTAATACACTGTCTGATAAACCCAAATACTCCAGCTTCTAGGATAAGAGCTCACCATTTGACAAAAACTGCTGGGAAAACTGGAAAACAGTATGGCAGAAACTAGGCATAGACTAACATCTTAGACTGTATTCCAAAATAAGGTCAAAATAGGTACATAATTTATACATAAAGTATGATACCAGAAGCAAATTAGGAGAGCAAGGATAGTTTACCTGTCATACCTGTGGAGAAGGGAAGAATTTGTTATCAAACAAGAGATAGAGAACTTTATGAGATGCAAAATGGATAATTTTGATTACATTAAATAAAAAGTTTTTGCACAAAATAAAACCTAATGCAACCAAGATTAGAAGGAAAGCAGAAAGCTGGAAAACAATTTTTACAGCAAGTGTTTCTGATAAGGGCCTCATTTCTCAAATATAGAAAGAACTGAGTCAAATTTATCAGAATATGAGTCATTCCCCAATTGAGAAATGGTCAAAGGATATGAACAGGGAGTTTTCAGTTGAAGAACTTAAAGCTATCTGTAGTCATAAGGGAAAAAAAAGCTCTAAATCACTATTGATAAGACAAAAACAAATTAAAACATCTCTGAGGTACCACTTCACACCTATCACATTGACTAATATGACAGAAAAGGAAAATGATAAATATTGGAGAAGATGTGGGAAAATTGGAACACATTGCTGGTGGAGTTGTGAACTGATCTAACCATTCTGGAGCAATTTGGAACTATGTCCAAAGGGCAACCCAGCTTTTCATACCCTTTGATCCCAAAGTCGTCATAAAAAAGGAAAAGGATCCACATGTACAAGAATATTTATAGCAGCTCTTTTTGTTGTGGCAAAGAATTGGAAATTGAGGGAATGCCCATCAATTGGGGAATGACTGAACAAGTTGTGGTGTATGTATGTCATGGAATACTCTTGTGCTATAAGAAATAATGAGCAGGCAGATTTCAGAAAAACCTGGAAAGACTTCCATGAACTGATGAGTGAAGTGAGTAGAACCAGGAGAACATTGCACACAGGAAAAACAACATTATATGATGATCAACTATGATAGAGTTAACTCTTCTCAGCAACACACTGATCCAAGACAGTTCCAAAAGACTCAAGATGGAAAATGCTATCCACATCCAGAGAAAGAACTATGGTGTCTAAATGAAGATTGAAGCATACTATTTTCACTTTTTTTTGGTTTCTGTTTATTCTTTCTTGTGGTTCTGTTCTGATTCTTCTTTCACGACATGACTAACGTATAAATATATTTGTCATAATTGTACATGTATAACCTATATCAGATTGCTTGCTGTCTTGCATAAGGGGAGGGAAAGAAAGGAGGGAGAGAAATTTGGAGCGCAAAATCTTATAAAAATGAATGTTGAAAACTATCTTTATATGTGATTGGGAAAAATAAAATGCTATTAAGTGGGGGGGGGAATGAAAAAATAATTGTGGAAACGGCAAAAATATTTTCATTTGGGACTGGTCGTAAGAACTCGTATAACTTTCATGCCTGATCTTTCTTTAATTTATGACATTGATTTTGAGCTGTGCAATTGCACCTAATGCTTCGACCAAGGACAAGTGTTGACTTCACAAAGGCGTTTCTTTCATTATGCTCCGGTACCCTGTAAAGGAACTAAATCTGAATGTGAATCTCCATTCCAACCCTGGGGAGAGCTTTTAGTGGTTTTTCGTCACCAGCTAAAGATTGGCCGACGAAGAGCTATTTTTCCAAATGTTCGTTTTGAATCAAAGAATTAGAATGAAAGCAACTAGTATGTGGCCTCTTAATTAGGATGTCTTCTCCCGAATGTCGGCTCAAACCGTAAATGTGAATTCGTTGCCTTTCCCTCTAAATGTGACTTCCTAATTTGTCAGCGTCTCCCGCCATTTTACTAGTCCCCATGCCTCGCCCTCCCTAATCAATTGAGGGACGGACACTTAGTTCATCCTCTTTTTTATATTCTTCTTTTTCTTCACCCAATCAGTCATCCAGTCCTATTTCATTTCCCTTTGAAATGTCCTTCAGCTTTTTCCTTTTGTCTCTTTCTCAGGGGCAGCTAGATGATGCAATGTATATAGCTCTGGGCCTGGTTTCAGGAAGACTTGAGTTCAAAACCTGCCTCAGACAGTTTTGAGCTGTGTGGCCTTAGGCGAGTCACTTACCCACTTTGTTCCTCAGTTTCCTCATCTGTAAAATGGAGATCATAATAGCACCTACCTCGCAAATAAGTTAATATATATATAAATGTTAGTGGCGTCCTACTGCTACTATTCTAGTTCAAGCCCTCCATGTTATGTCATGCCTGCATATCCAGAAGCAGTCTAATTGATTTCCTTGCCTCTAATGTCTCTTTGTTCCACGTAATCTTTTCTTCCTCTATCCCATTCAGTATTGCCCGGCTGCTTTGAAATAACTGATTTCTAGAGGCAGCTAAGTGGCACAGTGGATAGAGTACCGGCCCTGGAGTCAGGAGTACCTCAGTTCAAATCAAGTCTCAGACACAAACACTATAACACTATAACAGCTAGACAGCTGTGTGACTCTGGGCAAGTCACTTAACAACCCCAATTGCCTCACAAAAAAAAAAAAAAAAAAGAAAAGAAAAGAAATAACTGATTTCTGAATGTCAATGTTCTGTTTCTGAAGCTGTAATTTCATTTACTTAACAAAGTACTCCATGTGATGAAGAACACCTAGACTATTAGGAAAATGGAAAATTTAGAGAAGACAATGTTCCTGTCCTGTTGTATGAGCATAAGCGGTTAATAAGAGTTCAGACTGATGGATTGATATCATCACAGAGAAAACTTTGTTTAATCTTCAGATCATTGTTGTCAGTCAAGGAATGAAACGGAGACATGGGCTTGCCATATATTGAGCATATCCTATGCAAAATCCAAATGAAAGGGGGATTTTTGATAG